ATTCTGCTGCTGAGAATTCTGTTTAGCTCTGTACCCCATTTTTAAATTGGATTATTTTGCTTGTTGTCTAATTTCTTGAGTTCATTATATATTTTTGGTATTAGCCGTCTGTCATATGTAGGGTTGATGATCTTTTCCCATTCTCTTGGCTGCCATTTTGTCCTATTGACAGTGTTTTTTGTCTGTTTTTTGCCAAACAGAAGCTTTTCAGTTTGATCTTAGAGCCTGAGCTGCTGGTGTTCTGTTCAGGCAGTTGTCTCCTGTGCCAAAGAGTTCAAGGCTCTTTCCCACTTTCTTCGTTAGCAGATTTAGTGTGTCTTGTTTTATGTTGAGGTCTTTGATCCACTTGGACTTGAGTTTTATGCAGGGTGATGCATAAATATGGCTTTACTTGCATTCTTCTACAAGCAGAAATCCAGTTAGACTAGCACCATTTGTTGATGCTTTCTTTTTCCATTGTATGGTTTTGGCTTCTTTGTCAAAAATCACTTGTCCATATGAGTGTGTGTTTATTTCTGGGCATTCAATTTGATTCCAGTAATCAACCTGTCTGTTTCTATGTCATTTTCATGCAGTGGTTATTACCATTGTAGTACAGCTTGAAATCAGGGATGGTGATATCTCCAGAAGTTCTTTTATTGAACAGGACTTTTTTTTTTTAAAGCTATTCTGGTTTTCTTGTTTTTCCATATAAAATTGAGAACTGTTCTTTTAAGGTCTGTAAAGAATTGCATTGATATTTTGATGGGAATTGCCTTGAATCTGTAGATTGCTTTTGGTAAGATGGCCATTTTTACTGTGTTAATTCTACTGATCCATGAGCATGGGAGATCTGGAAAATCTAAATGAAATGGACAAATTTTTTTGATGTATTCCACTTACCAAAGTTAAATAAAATCAGGTAAACAAGTTAAATAGTCCCATAGCCAATAATGAAATAGAAATATTCATTAAAAGCTTTCCAACAAAAAACAAAAACTAACCTAAAACCAGAAAGCCCAGGGCCAGATGGTTTCAGTGCAGAATTTTATCAAAGAAGACTATCAAAGAAGAGATAATACTAATATTTCTTGAACTACTCCACATAAAAGAAACAGAAGGAACATTGCCAAACTCATTCTTTAATGTCACAGTCACCCTGATACCTAAACCATACAAAGATCCAACAAAGAAAGAGAATTTCAGGCCAATCTCCCTTATGAACATTGATGCAAAAATACTCAACAAAAGGGGCATGCATGGAGAAAGAGGAGGAAGGGAGGGATTGGAAGGGAAGGAGGGAGGGAACTAGAGGGGGGATACAAAGTAAATAAAGTGTAATTAAAAATAAAATTAAATAAAAATTAAAAAATACTCAACAAAATAAGAACACATCAAAGATATCATCCACTATGACCAAGTAGGCTTCATCCCAGGTATGCAGGGGTGGTTCAATATACGGAAATCCATCAATGTGAACCACCATATTAACAAACTGAAAGAAAAAAAAACACATGATAATCTCCTTAGATGCTGAAAAAGCATTTGACAAAATCCAACATCCATTCATGTTTAAAGTCTTAGAGAGATTAGGGATACAAGGCACATATCTAAACATAGTAAAGGCAATATACAGCAAGCCTACAGCCAACATCAAACTAAACGGAGAGAAACTTAAAGAAATCCCACTGAAATCAGGGACAAGGCAAGGCTTCCCACTCTCTCCATATCTCTTCAACATTGTTCTGGAAGTCCTTGCTAGAGCAATAAGACAGTCGAAGGAGATCAAGGGGATACAAATTGGAAAGGAAGAAGTCAAATTATCACTATTTGCAGATGATATGAGAGTATACTTGAGTGACCCCAAAAAATTCTACCAGGGAACTCCTACAGCTGATAAACACCTTCAGCAAAGTGGCCGGATACAAAATTAATTCAAAAAAATCAGTAGACTTCCTGTATACAAAAGACAAAAGGGCTGAGAAAGAAATTAGGGAAACAACACCCTTCACTATAGCCACAAATGACATAAAGTACCTTGGTGTAACCCTAACCAAGCAAGTCAAAGACTTGTATGAAAAAAATTTCAAGTCTCTGAAGAAAGAATTAGGAAATGATATCAGAAGATGGAAAGATCTCCCATGCTCATGGCTTGGCAGGATTAACATTGTAAAAATGGCCATCTTACCAAAAGCAATCTACAGATTCAATGCAATTCCCATCAAATTACCAACACAATTCTTTACAGACCTTGAAAGAAAAATTCTCAATTTTATATGGAATAACAAGAAACCCAGAATTGCTAAAACAATCCTCTACAATAAAAGATCTTCTGGAGGTATCTCCATCCCTGATCTCAAGCTGTACTATAGAGCAACAGTTATAAAAACTGAATGATACTGGCATAGAAACAGAATGGTGGATCAATGGAACCAAACAGAAGACCCAGAAATAAACCCACACACTTATGGACACCTGATCTTTGACAAAGATGCCAAAACTATACAATGGAAAAAAGATAGCATCTTCAACAAATGGTGCTGGTCTAACTGGATGTCTACATGTAGAAAAATGAAAATAGATCCATACTTATCACCCTGCACAAAACTAAAGTCCAAGTGGATCAAAGACCTCAACATAAAACCAGACACATTAAATCGGTTAGAAGAAAAAGTGGGGAAGACCCTAGAACTCATTGGTACAGGAGATAACTTCCTGAACAGAACACCAACAGCACAGGCTCTAAGAGCAACAATCAGTAAATGGGACCTCATGAAACTGAAAAGCTTCTGTAAAGCAAAGGACACAGTCATAAAAACAAAAGACTATCAAAGAAGAGATAATACTAATATTTCTTGAACTACTCCACAAAAAAGAAACAGAAGGAACATTGCCAAACTCATTCTTTGTCACAGTCACCCTGATACCTAAACCATACAAAGATCCAACACAGAAAGAGAATTTCAGACCAATATCCCTTATGAACATTGATGTAAAAATATTCAATAAAGCACTGGCAAACTAAATCCAAGAACACATCAAAAACAGCATCCACCATGATTAAGAAGGCTTCATTCAAGGGATGCAGGAGTGGTTCAATATACAAAAATCCATCAGTGTAAGGTACCATATAAATAACCCAAACAAACAAACCACAAAACACATGATCATCGCATTAGATGCTGAAAAAGCCTTTGACAAAATCCAACGCTCCTTCAGGTTAAAAGTCTTGGAAAGATCAGGGTTAGCAGGCATATACTTAAAAACAATAAAGGGAATATACAGCAAGCTTATAGCCAACATCAAATTAAATAGAAACTTAAAGCAATTTCACTAAAATCAGGGATGAGACAAGGCTGCCCACCTCTCTCCGTATCTCTTCAATATAGTACTTAAAGTCCTAGTTAGAGCAAGAAGATAATTAAAGGAAATCAATGGGATACAATTTGGAAAGGAAGAAGTCAAAATATTGCTATTCACAGATGATATGATAGTATACATGAATGACTCCAAAAATTCTACCAGAGAATTCCTGCAGCTAATAAACACCTTCAACAAAGTGGCTGGATAAAAAATTAACTAAAAAAAAAAAAAAAAAAAGTAGCCCTCCTGTATATAAAGGACAAACAGGCTGAGAAAGAAATTAGGGAAATGATACCCTTCACAATAGCCACAAGTAATATAAAGTATCTTGGTGTAACTCTAACCAAGCAAGTCAAAGACCTGTATGACAAGAACTTCAAGTCTCTGAAGAAAAACATTGAAGAAATAAAAAGATGGAGACAAATAATATGAAAGGAAAAAAGAAAGGAAAGAAGATTTATTTTCACTGTTTCAAAGTTTGGCATATATTCTGCTAACACCACTGCTGTAGGCACTGCTGTAGGCAGTGGTGAGGCGGAACATCTGGAGGTAGGAGTGTGTGGCATAGGAGCCTTATCTTCTAGCAGTGAGAGATCAGAGAGAAACAGACCATGTATAATCTTCAGAGGCATGTACATCTCCCCCAGCAGGGCCCCCTTACTAATGCTGCCATAAAATTAGAGATCTATCAGTGGATTCTATTACTTTAATCAGAGCCTTCAAAATACTACCATTTTTCAATGACCGGGTCCATCAGTTGAGTGCCAAGTCTTCATTTAACACATGAGCTCTTATTTTTTTTTTAATCTTTTACAGCAAAGTTTTTTAGATTTCCTGTCTTTTACTGCTTTGTGGTTATTCTTAGTATTTTACCTTGCAAATGCTATTTCAAATAGAGTTGTCATAATTTTCTTTTTAAAGTATTCATAGTTCTTTGTATGTTGATTTTATATCCTGTGACTTTGCTAACCTCATTAGTTCAAATAGGCTTTTGTGGATGACTGTCTACATACCATCCTGTGGCTGGATGCAGCAAACTAGTAGTAGAGTGATAGCCTAGCATGTTTAGGCCTGGATTTAACCTCAACAACACGGAAAACAAAGATCACATCATTTTCAAACATATTTTTACGTCTTCCTTTCTTAGCTTTGGTTAAATTCCAACACCATGTTGACTGTAAGTGGCAAACATGGGTACCCTATCTTGTTCCTGATTTTAGAGGAAGAGTTTTCAGTCTTTCATTATTGACATTAACTGTGGCTTATTTTGATGTGGCATTTTGTTGTTGAAAAAAATTTTTCCTGCCATTTCAGATTGACAACTAAAGTATTTATTGAGCTTGTTCAGTGTCTTCAGTTTTAATTAGAATCTCATGACATTTACAGACAAATTTTGAGAATATACTAAAAAGAAACTGTGTATGTTACTATATAATATTACTATATGGAATGTTAGTGGAAAGAAAGCTAATAGTAAAAACATGAAACTAGGATTTACTGATGCTATTCAAAATAAAAAATATTAATGTGCTATATAAGAAAATGAAAGTATAGGAGTTTTTATACATGGGTGAAAAATAAGCTTGGAAATTTAAAGGATTCATTTTTTTTTTGTTTTATTTTGCTTAATCTGTATCTCTTTCTCTTTTTTTCCCTAGGATATCCTAATCCTCGTGAAGGAATATTTGGCAAAGAATTAGGTTATTATTTCAGTTATTTATACCCCTGAAGTATGAGACCTTAGGAGTTTACATGGAAATATCATACATTTCAGTTACTGGCAGTTAAAGAAGCAGCATATCTTGTTAGTAGTGATAGTTGACATTTAGGATTACTTATTTTGGGCTAACACCATGACAAATGTAAGTACTATTATGCAGAGTAATATGTAGGTAAGTACAATTTCATAGATGGGTCTTAGTGTAGGAAATTTTATAGGCTGAGGTTAAAGTACATAAAACACAACCATGGTAAATTGAATTCCTAAGTTGAAAATGCACTTAGCATGTCTGCCTGAAGATTATTAGAGATGGTAACATAGTCAGGGTTCTGGTTTCACTCATGTGATCCTGCTTGTGTAGGAAATGTGGCTTGCCTCTGCTGCCTAAGATCTAAGATAAGATTCGCTACCTAAGATCTAAGCCTTATGTTATATTGCTAACCCAGGCAAAAGTCAAAATTCAAAGTTCAACACTGGTTTCTGCTGAATATACATTAGTGTCATACCAAATGTAGAGTGAAATCATTCAGTCAAACCATTACAGTTTGAGAACTGTCTATATATAATTTAGCTTCAAATTCTGTAGTCACTATGTGTCACTGTGTCAACAAACCCAGTGCTTCTTAAACTGTTAAACATATGATAACCACGAAGAGCAGAATTAAGACCAAGACTTCATTCATACCAATTTAATGAAAATTATGGACTTTAGAAGCAAATACTTCAGTAGATATAAATACTTTCAAACTTTAAGATTTTGTAGAATTTAATGTTCTCTGGTAGACCTAATTAGCATTAATTGTTAATTTGCTACAGCCTATAGTCACCTGAAAAGGCACGGTCACTGTAGGGATTGCCTAGATCAGATTGGCTTGTGGGCATGGGAAAAGGGGGTTGTCTTGATTGTTGAGTTATGTAGGAGATCTGTGGACAGCTCTGAACAGGTAGTTCTGCACTGTATAAGAAAGCTAGCTAAAGCTGGGCAGTGGTTGTGCAAGCCTTTTAATCCCAGCATTCTGGAGGTAGAAGCAGCTGAATCTCTGTGAGTTTGAGGCCAGCCTGATCTACAGAGCTAGTTCCAGGACAACGTAGACTACAAAAAGAGACTCTGTCTCAAAAACCAACCAACTAACCAATAAAACAAAACAAAAAGAAAGCTAGCTAAGCATGAACCTACTATCAAGCCATCAATAGCCTTCCTTCAGGGTTTCTGCTGTGTTCTCTCAGCTGTGAGTTTCCTGGTTAAAGGTAATGTTGTGTGGAATAGCCAACAGGCCTGCCTTCAAGTTCTGCCTTGAATTCTTACTGTGACTTACCTGAGTGAATGATAACCCAGACAAATTTTTTCCTTCCCTATGTTGCTTTTGACCAGAGTATTTTTATGTCATCAAGAGAAAGAAAACCAGCAGACCCAGTTAGTTAGTCAACTATGCTTGTTTAAATTCCTCTGCATAACTTAGCAATGCAGTAGGTAGTTTTTGAGCATGTCACATAAGTGCTTCTGCTACTGAGCTGTATAGCCATCTCTGAGGTTACACTTTGAGAAGGGAAGGTCTTTGGTATTTAGGACTATCTCTTCATTTAAGGGTGAGGGTGGGGTTGTGAGAGCATAGGGATGACAGGGCCCTCATAAGGTAGAATATTATTTGTAAAGAATTGCAAATAGCATCTGTTTAATTAATTGATTGAAACTTATTTATAACATTCTACAGATCTACTTTTTGGGAAAGATGGACTTCTTTTTAAAAATTATAACAAATTATAGATTGCATACTGAACTAAACCAAATATAAGAAGATCATATATTGAGTAATGATTTTCCTCTATTCAGTGAATTATAATTGTTCTGTAATCATTACTAAATAAGCTGATGTTGTAAGAAAAGCAATAACACTGAAAATTGAATTTTACATGTTGGACACAAAATCTGGAAATGGGCCTACAAGTATTCTGTGATTAAGATGTCTTGGGTATATACTGATTGTGTTCAAATTAGATAAATTAACTTTTATTATTCTCTTAAGTATAGATTATCTAAACTAATCTAGAGACTTCTATATGCTTGGCTCTTTTTTTTTGTTAGATGCATGGATTATTGCTCTGATTATTATTACTTCAAGTAAGTATCAGAAATTTTTCACTGCTTAAATTTGTTACTGTAAAGCAGTACATTTAAAAAAAAGTTTCTTGGCTTGTATAGTTTTTAAACTTGAAATTAACTAACATAGAAAAACCTTGTTTTTTATGTGTTATCATTTGTTAACATATTATTTTACAAACTGTTTCTACTTAGAAGTAGCCTGTAAGCAATGCATGCTTTCTTAAGATGACGTACTATGAAGCATCCTGATTATGCTTTTGATGATTTTTTTTTTAATTAAGCGAGAGATCTCCTCGCTTACATGGTCTGTGATTCCAGGGAATTACATTTAGAGAATAAAGATGGAGAGCTGGGCATGATGGCGAACGTCTTAATCCCAGCGCTCCAGAGGCATAGAAAGGCAGATCTCTGTGATTTCAAGGCCAGCCTTGGAGAGTTCTTAGACAGCCAAGGCTGCACAGAGAATCCCCGTCTCAAAAAAATAAAAAGCAAAACAAAAGGAGTGCAGATGTAACATAATGCATAACTGCTTACCACTGAAATATAAGTGATTTATTTCTTCTGCTTAGATTTTGAGTCTTGGCAATCTTTCTCAGAGTTACATAGTATTTATTTCTATTTTCTTGTAGTTGTTGGATTTGTTGTAATTTGTCTCATTATACTCCGATATCTTGAGTACAGGAATAAAGGGTAAGTATTTTAAGTTGTTAATTGGGTGCAACTGATTTGTCCTTTGCCTTGAGCACCCTTGTTTTTAAAGTATGCCTATGGTAATGTGTCCTACAAATTGCATTTCTTTGCTAAAACATCATCAGCTACTTTTAACATCATTGCAGCATAGGGATCTGCATGAAGTTGCTTGTTTAGCAGCTATAAAACCTAGAACCTTTGCTTGGACAAAGCTCATGGTAGCTCAATAACTAATTGGTTTCCCATAGTAAGGGGAACAGCGACTATCTCTGACAGGAACTCAATGGCAGGCTCTTTGACCTCCCCACCCCCCAAAGGAGGAGCAGTCCTGCTAGGCCACAGAGGAGGACTTTGCAGCCAGTCCTGAAGATACCTGATAAAACAGGGCCAGACGAAAGGGGAGGAGGTCTTCCCCAATCCGTGGACTTGGAAAGGGTCAGGGAGAAGCTGAGGGACGGAGGGTGGGGTTGGGAGGTAATAAGGGAGCGGGATACAGCTGGGATACAGAGTTAATAAAATGTAACTAATAATAATAAACAATAATAAAAAAATACAAAAAAAACCCTTTTTCTATGAAATTTAAAGTTTAAGTTGCCTAGTGAAGCAAGGTCATTATGAAGCTTTCCCTGCCCTATTTTCTAAGTTCAAAAGCAGCCAAAATTAAATTTGAAATATTTCAGTTTATAGTCACAGGAATTTTTATGATAAAGCTTACACTTGTCTAACTTGGCTAGTGGTAAGATGCTATTTAGGTGCCTGATTTTTTTTTTTTTTATAATTTAGAGTTATTTATTAATGTTAACCAGGGTGATTAAGACCATCACCATTTGATTTCTCCATTCTGATCTCCTAATTTTTTAAAACTACTAACTCATTCATTAATGACTTAGAAGTAGCTGAAAGGCTAAAATTCACAGGGAACTCTATTATCTTTTATCTGTGTTCTATTTGTATAAAGATGAAAACAAAGGGGGATTAAAACAAGAAAAATTATAAGTAAGAAAAGAAGTAGGTATTTAGAAGAGACGGAGGTATTCATAATGTTGTGTCCATAGGTAAAAAATAGGGAGTAAAAGTTGCAAAATTTTTTGAGACTGATACTCCAACCAAGGACCATGCATGGAGATAACCTAGAACAGATGTAGCCCATGTCAGCTCAGTATCCAAGTGGGTACCCTAGTAAGAGGAACAGGGTCTGTCTCTGACATGAACTCAGTGGCTGGCTCTTTGATCACCTCTCCCTGAGCGGGGAGCAACCTTACCAGGCCACAGAGGAAGACAATGCAGCCAGTCCTGATGAGACTTGATAGGCTAGGGTCAGATGGAGGGGGAGGAGCGCCTCCCCTCTTAGTGGACTTTGGGAAGGGCATGGGAGAAGATGAGGGAGGGTGGGATTAGGAGGGAATGACGGAGGGGGCTGAATATATAATATAATATAAAATATAAAAAAATAAAAAATTTTAAAAACAGAAAATCTAAAACTTAACAAAAAGTTGCACAATTAAATGTGGCAAATTTTCATATAATAGAAGATTTGGAATAAATCTTAGAACACAGATCAGATTAGTGCTTTGAAGTTTCTCATAAGATTTAGCTAATTTCATTTGTTTTCTTGTCACTTTAAAGTAGCTCTGAAATCATCCCTAATAAATATAAGACCCTTGTTTCATGTTTCCTTTTAAATTAATCATCAGGTTTGGGCTATACAATAGAAGTATATTCTTCAATTTTAAAAAGTTCAATCTTTTTATATAGTCACTTAATTCTAATTTACTTAAATAAAAACATCACACAGCTAGATTGAGGAAGCCATTCAAACACTTGACCAGTCCCAAACTCTATACATTTTAATGATCTTCTATACCATTAGTATAGCCATATTGAAGCAATGGACCTTTACATTTTCTCTTTCAATCACATTTTTATTCACTTACCCACAGCCAAAAAAAGGGGGGAGGGGACTATGACAGAGTTAAAGCTAGACATAGCAAATACATTTTGAAGCTTTTAAATGTTACTTTATTATATATTTTAAATACCTGCAATTCCTTTATTTGAATCTCAAATCTTGTATTTATGGAACATGTAATAATAACATTTGATTTATCTATTGGTTATATTTTTAAACTACATGTATTAAAAATGTCAGTAGGGAATAGTATCAGTGGTTTTATTATTATAAAAGGTCTGTCTAAAAATAACTTCCAAAGAAAATAAAATAAAGTAGCTTTTCATTACCATTTTTACTGTTGTTTATAACAACTCCATAAAAATTCATGATTGATCCCTAAAAATATTAATATACTATACAGATGGTACAGATACCAGTTAATGGGTCTTTTAAATCTAAACAATTATCTGATTATTGCCCTCACAAATTAAAGGTTCAATAATGACTTGAAAATCTAAAAATAATTTGTTTTGCAATTCTTCTTGTTCATATGTAACACCACAGTAGTCTAACAAAAAATTAAATATCTAAAGATATTTTGGAAGATAATTTGTCTTCAAACAGTGCAATGTAGTCACTGTAGAGTAGCACGACTTTAGACAAGAATGGTGTGGGAGGTAGTTAATTGCCTCTTAATTGCCACTGAGCTAAAATATAAATTGTATTGATAGTCTTTTAGGATATAATTTTCCCTGTTTAATGACAAGAAGCCAATGTAACATATGATGGTTAAGTTAAAAGTTAGGTTTTCCCCATGCTTATTATGCACAAGGCACTGAGTCAATCTGCAGCACACACACACACAAAGTAATATAATTTTCAGAATGCTTGGCTTCAGAACACTGAAGTCCATATACAGAGGTCTGGGGGATTTCTGTTGTTTGTTTCAGAGAATATCCACTATGTACCCTAGCTAGCCTCAAATTTGTGATGATCCTCCTGACTTGCCTCTCTAGTGGTAATATACCAAGGACCGAGAAAAGCATTTCTTCTTTAACATCTTTGTAGAGCCATGAATCAACTGGAAATCTCCTGATCCTTTGGTCTAAGATAGGTCTGAGACCTACTGGCTAATGCACTCCCAAGGGTGCTGTTTGGTCCACTGAATAATATTATCCATGGCCCCATGTTGTTGAACTTTAAAAAAACACTGTCAAGCTCACTGTCTTTTTCATTTCTTTTCTAATATTTGAGGTCATTAAGTCTTTCTTTTTCTTTTTACTTTTCCACTTTTCTTCCCCTCTTCCTTCCTTGTTTTTGTTTGTTTGTTTGTTTGAGACAGTGTCTCACTATGTAGCTCGTCTATCTTCAAACTCACTTTGAAAACCAGGCTTGCCTCAGACTCACAGATATCCAACTGCCTCTGCCACCCAAGTGCTGGGATTAAAGGCATGCACCACTATACACTATACCTGGCCATTTTTTTAAAGACTTGTTTGCTTTTTATGTGTAGAAGCGTTTTGTCTTGTCTACATGTATGTAAATGTATGTGCCTGGTGCACAAGGAGGCTAGAGAAGGGCACCAGTTCCCCTGGACCTGGAGTTACAGCCAGTTGTAAGCTACCATATGGGTAGAGGGATTGGACCTAGGTCCTCTACAAGAACAAGTGCTTTATCTCTCAGCCATCTCTCCAGCCCCTGTGAGATCTCTTTTTATCTCTGTGTATCTTTTTCAAGAGTGTGTTAACGGTGGTCTTTATTTTATTTAAACTTTTTGTGCTATTTTCTTAATAGTGCTTAATGTCCTTAATCTTTCCCCTCAAGGTAGCTTTCATTTCCTCTGAGTTAACAGGAATAAAGAAATCTATTTTCTCCTCTAATCTCACTTGACAACACAGAAGACTGCTATGAGAAAGTGTGTAGATTTTCCACACACAGTTAAAAATCAGTCTGATCTGCAGCTGACACCAGTTGCTGTCCTTCATTTCCTTCAATTCAGATTGCTTAGGTAGACCTCCACAACTCTCTTTCAGATTTTATTTTACCTGTGCTTTTGACCCACCAACTATAAGTTAAGGTCCCCACACCTCTTATTCAATCTGCTAGAATGACTCAGAACTCAAACTGGATAAACTGTAGTTAATATAAAAAAATAAAAATTTAATTAAAAAAAAAGAACTCAAACTGGTTTGAACTGTAGAGAAAAAGATGTATGTCATAGAAAGAGTAAGAAAACTCCATGCCTGTGGGGGAACTACACCCAGGAACCTTCTTTTGTCCATCTGCCTGGAATCTCCAATCCCAATCCTTTCTGCCTTTTTCTTTTTTTAATAATCATGATTAATTATATCATTTAGGCTTCAGACCTTCCCCTTCTTGGGAGGCTGGGCAGTAGGGGTGAGTTTGAACCCTCAAGTACTGTCTAGACCTTTTCTGAAGCTTCTGAGAGGTTCCAGCCATGAGTCAGTTCATTGGCGCGCGCGCGCACACACACACACACACACACACACACACACACACACACACACACATCTCTTTGAAGAGTCTAAGGATATTAAAAGTTGTTGGCTATAGAAATACAGACTGTATTTCACAATATCACATTGCATCCGTAACTTCTTATATAAGAATATAAAATGTATGGTTACTTTTCTATATTTAGGGGATAACTGAAAGAAGGCATAGATGTTCTCGAATTGCTGTTAAAGAATGGTTTTAAAAGCAGGCTTTCAGGCAAACAGATATTTGTAATGACTTGAGAGCATAATTCTTCTTCTCCGGCCCTCATCATGAAGTACAAACATTGTACAAATAATACTTTTCAGAGTATTAGCATCATTTAAGTTTGTGAAAAATAGCCGAAAGGTTAAAAGTATTCTGTGATTTGGGTTACTGACTCTAAGTTATAACAAAAAGGATAGAATTTGGACTGAGGGGGTAGCTTATCTGTGAACTATTTGCCACACAAGCATGAAGACCTACATAGAAAGCCAGGTGTGGTGGCACATGCTTGTAATCCCAGCACTTGGGATAGAGATACACAGATTCCAGGGGCTTGCTATCAGGTCAAGCCTGGTCTATCACATAAACAAAAGAGTAAATTTAGATC